TTTTTTTTACTAGGCTTTCATGCTGTAACAATTGTACGGTTCATGCTGTCATGCCTCTCTTCTCAAACTCCACTATCCACAAAATTCGAACTCCCAATCAAATCTCAACTCCTAATCAGAAAATCAAAATGCTACTAAATTGACKAATCAAATTAGCTTTGGAAAAGCCCAAACTTTGGAAGGCAAGAGAATCTCTTCTTATTTTCACTTTTGCAGCCAAAACTGTGCTTTCAGTTAACCTGGTACACAGTTCTCATTTTTAAATGTGTGTATATATATATATATATATGTATTAGATCCTTCTGCAAAGATAGCTGAAGCTGGGCAGATGGGATTCTTACCAGAGAATATTGCCAGGGAATTATTAAGAAAATGGAAAACGCTGACACGTTCCTGACTTAGAAATGCAAGATTATAATAATTTCTGAAGGCAAATTGTATATACAGCTGCTGGCCAAAATTCAGCACTCTTTAATAGTACAAGTAGGGAAGTCATCTGTGTACTGACTTGCAGTTGTATATAAGGTTGTTATGGGCAACAGTACATCTCTGTTCTACAGAAAAAAAAAAAAAAAAAAAAAAAAGATATTTTTCTGGGCGGCTATGTGCATGCATGCATCACTACAGTATTAAATATTTATATTATGCTGTTGATATTTGGGGTTTTTTCCTATTTATGACCCTCTGCAATCTCCTCAAACTTACTATAAAACTGAAGATGACATAACAGAGACTTGGCAACTTCAAAAAAAAAAAAAAGGAATTAATCATTTTTAAAAAGGTTATATAGCACTGTAGTTTTAACAGGGATACAGCTGTAAGAGGTTTCTATGGCAACACTACTATCAGCAACTGCCTTGTCCTGGCATCTGGTCATGTTTGGGGCTTATGAGTGGCTGCAAGCAATATGTGAAGATTAGAGTAGAAAAAAAAAATGAGTGACATGAAGTTTAGATGTAACTCAGCATCCTTTTATTAAAAAAGAAACATGCATCCATTTCAGCTGAAACTTTAAGGAATTTTTGTGTGACAGCTGTGTGTGTATGAAGGCAGGCAGCTGGAGCCTGAGTATGTGAGGTTTCCACATTTCGGATTGACAAAGCAGACAGACCAATATAATACCATGCCCCCAGGTTGGTTTCCATAGCTTCTCTTCACCCTTATAGCTCTTCAGAAACATCTGACCAAGCTCTGTCAAAATTTATTAGCAAAATTGATTTCCATAATGGGGCTTTAACTTGGTTTTGCTTTGCAGAGCATCTTTAGCTGTGTCTGCAGAGTCAGACCTGAACAGCTAAAAAAGCACTTCCGGTTTTAGTGAGTTTGAATGTTGACCTTCTGTAGAAAAGGACCTAGTGCTGGTAACATGTAACAGGTAACAAGTACTATTTGGGAGGAGCTTGTATTTAAGGCATTCAATCCTTTGAACACCTAAATGGGTGTTAGTTTTGGAAAACCACTGATGTCTAACTTATGTAATGTCAGACTGCTGCTTGTGCCACTGCATGTTCCATTGGATATGGACCTAAAGTAAGGTGATTCTGAAAAAAAATTTACTTTGTAGCCCACCTGTTTTGAACAGCCCCTTTAAATGAGTTGCAGTCCAACATGAGTGGAAGAAGTATTTTATAAAGTTTACACTGAGGCCCTGTGCATTACAGGAGCTACAGCAGGTGATAATGGAAACAGTTCAAGGGATGGGCAGGAGAAATTTGAGCTTGGTGGGAACGGCAAGGTTGCTTACTAAACAATTCTTCAAAGCGGGTGCTGTTACGAGAATACTGATATTAAAAGTAAATAAAATTACTATCCTTAATACTTACAGTGTGATGATGATGTAAAGGCTTTATTTGTTTAGCATGTAACTACTTCTATTTCAGATTGTACTTGGCAGTATATTCCTGCTTGCTAATATATAGCAGCTCATTTAGCCATTCATTTCATTGTGTCCCATACATGGCATGCTTCTGTTAGCTTGATTAATATTGATTTCTCTGCAGCCACTGCCTCAGCATGAGTAAGGTGATGACCATATTTAATTTTTATACAGGAAAGTGTCGAGGCAGGGGATAAGAAGACAACTGGAGTTGCTGAGAAGGAAAGCGAGGTACATATGAATAGACTCACGAGTATGGTTGTGCTTTAATATCTTCAAGAGATCATGACAAAAAAAATTGTCATTTGTATGTCATCAGTTGGCCAGCCAGTACAATGTGACTGTGACCTGGTATTAAAGTCTAACACTGCACAAATATATCTGTGGCATATATTCTAACAGATCACCTGTCATCCATGGCAAGATTTATCTTAGAAACTGCCTGTTGGAACAGTATAGAGTGATAAGTATCTCAGGGCAGCACACAAAGCAGTTCAATGGCTAAAGGAGGTATAATGCTCTTTCTACTGATATTTGGAAATATATTGCATAGATTCCCAGTAGCTTTTACAATTTCCATATATTTATTTGTCTAGCCTTTCTGTAAACTTCTTTATAAAAAGAAAATTAAAAGTCCTGTGGTTAATCATTTCTTTTTACTAGCACAATATGCCCTGAGCTGAAAGAGATACTTGAAAATAATCATGAGTTGGTTTGCTAAAGTGCAATATGGCAGCAAGTTAGATACAGTTAATATCAAATTATGAAGCAAATTAAAAGCTCAGCGACATACTTTAAACTGTGCATATGTCGATTTGAATGATTGCATTTTGCTTTCATTTCTTCAGGGATGGTAAAAGTACTTACTCTGAATCTTTGTATACTAACGTGAAACTATAGTGTGTTCAAATGGGGGCAACACAAGAGGATTGGCTGCATATTAAACTCAGGGATGAAAGCAGGGACTGGGAAATAACTTCTACTTATTAATCACTCAGGATTTGTATCTCAAGGTTCAACCTGCTCTTTTGTTCTTACTCATTTTAATGCCATATATAAAACATATATATACAAATACATAGATACATACAGATATATACAAAAAGGTAATGAATTGTTTTCAGAACGTGCTACGTTCAGCTGTCCAAGCTTAGGTTCATTCTCCTGCTGTAAAACAGCATTAGGTCTGCTAGAGCCAAGGATATATCTGTGGCTGTAGGGCATGTCAGCATCACTTGGAAATGAATTTGAGACTCACTGGTGTACTCCTGCTGTATTCCTCATCAGCGCTGCCACATCCTAATGGAAACCAGTGGAATTGCATGGGAAGAAAGTCCAGAGTGGGAGTGGCAGAACAAGTGGCAGCTTGGTGTTGACACAGTGCAAGAGTGTTGTGTTGTTCCTCTGGCACTGCCTTGTCACTCCCAACAAGTCTGCTTCAAGAAGAAACACGCAAGAATGTCTCACTGTTGTGCTAGCACCAAAGGCTAAGTCTTTGAAATCTTTCTCCTTTATTCTAATACTACTTGTTCTTATAAAGTTGAGGTCTCTGTTCTGAGAGTGAATTTGCCCTTGTGTTCTGTTTAAAATACCTATTTAAAACAGTATTACTGCATGCAGAACAGCTGCCATAATAGATCAGATTATTTGCTAAGCTCATATTTGACTATCAGTGGAAGGTGGTCCCTTTGATACTGTATAAGTTGCATAACAAATTTTTCACTATTACCTGAGAATCTTCACGACTTTGCAATGGATGCATTGCCTAAAGCAAGGTGATTGGTTTCTCTTGACATTAGCTAGTTTAGCTGTGATTGTAACCAACTGTCATAAAAATTACCCATTCCTGTTCTAAATCCATCCATGGGGCAAGAGCTTCAGCTCTGGTAGACCAGTGTAGCTCTGAGAGCTCCTCTGGCAGATCCCAGTGGCAGGCTTTGTACCCCTTCTTCTCATTTTCCTGGGCTTGTTATCACTACTGCTGAATCTGTGGCATTGTGTTGAGCTGACAGCAATGTTAATGAGAGTACAACTGTATGGATTGGCTGCATCCTGGCTAAAGAAGAATTCATGTCTGTGCAATTAAAACAGCTGAGTGGTTCTATCATACCCCTCATTATACTGGATGATCCTTTCTTTCTCCCCTGTGGGCTTAGTGTAATGGGACAGCTGTCCAAATTTCAATAATTCTGCTAGAGATAGCTAATTTAGATTAATTAGATTGCCTAATGTTAGTAATTACCTGTATAAAAGAGATTCGTAGGATTGGTTTTTCAGTATGAAGTGAGGTAATAGTAGCTGTATCTGCAAGGGTGTGGTTCAGCATTGTTTGGTATGAATTCAACCTCCTGCTTTCTTTTCTGTCTTCTGTACTAATCAAATATTTGAGGCTCACAGAAAGGTTCATTCTATGCTACCTCACATCCCTTTTTATAAAAGCTTTTTTAAATCATCTAGCTTTTATTGGTTTTGTACTCTTAAGACACAGGAACAAATGATTGTGCAATTGTGAGCTGTTGGATACATTTAATGACTCATGACTGCAGGCTGTGAGAGCATTTGCCCTTTCACTGTGGGCCATCTGCGAGCTGATTCACGTAAATTACTATTCTCCGTAATGAAATAAAATGGGCTATACAAATCCAATCAATAGAAAAGAAGTTGTTTATCCTAATCACAACAGACAGCAAGATCAATTCCTGCAGCATCCTGTTAGAAATGCATGGTGTGAAATCAATCTGATACGTACTCTATTCCCACTCTTATCTACTAGCCTCTTCCAGGACTTTTACATTCATCATTTCTTTGTATATGTTCTTGGGTCAAGACCACTAAAATTGGTAATACTGTGAGTGGCAGACTTGGGTGTTTTATAGGAGAAAATGTCAACATCTGACCTTCTCTAGTGATGTTACTTTTTTTTTTGCAATAGAACATCCATCCTTCAGCAGCAGCAGTTTCAATTTCTACAAATCCATATAATATTTTCTGTCTTCAAGGATTCCAGGAGGATTTCTTTATCACATCAATTAATAGCAAATAGGAGTAGTTATGAATATTTAATGTTGCTAAAAAACAATGGCTGAAGAGTGCCCTTGAACAGTTACTGAATCCAGGTAGTGGAATTAGCCTCATCCATGGGGGAAAGATCAAACTGAGGAAACATAGAGCATCAGACTGTTCACTGGAGGTCAGAGACATTTTTGCTAACTGTGGCTTGACATTGGTACCTTTAACAGTTTTCCTTCAGTGTTTTTTCTTTATCCTGGAGCTATCTATTGTAAGGTAAAAATTCTGTCTTGAAGTTAATTAGGTTAAAACAATGAGTTTTGTCATTTAGCTTCCACTTTTCAAACCTTAAGATTAATCCATTGTAAATATATACCCAGTATGCTACTGTATGCAGTATATTGCAATACAAATGTTTCGGTGGTGTTGCAAGTGTCTTGGAACAAGACAAGAACTCTGGAATGAGTTGTTTCCTTTTATAGCTTCAACCAATCCCTTTCTGCCACTAAGGAATGAATATAAGAAGATCTAAGGGAAAAAATAGCTAATAAATGAAACAGAAGAAGGCAAAAGCTAACAGTAAATAATTGCTACATACAAAATAGCTAAATCTTACAAAGTCATGAGAACAAAAGAGAGACCGAAAATGCCAGCAAATACCCTTTCCTGAGATAGTGCCTGACAGGGGCAGCTGCATTGGAAAAACAAAGGGACAAGATGGCATCAGATCACTCCCAGAAGGCAGGAGCTCACAGGGTAGTTCCAGCGGAAGATGAAGAAGACCTGAAGGGCCCACCTGGGCTCAGTGCCCTCCTCACATCAGGGGACAGCAGGGCAGGCAGGGCCAGGCAAAGCAGCTGGGCTGGGGCCACTCGTGGCTGGCAACGACCTGGGCCAGAGCTGGGGCTGCTCCACCCTGACGGCAGACAGGCACCTGCAGAATTCATCCCAAGGCAGCTCAAAGCCTCTAACTGCAGTCTCTCTAAGACAAAGAAAAAAAAAAGTCAAAAATATGAAAAGAGAACCAGAAAGACAGAAGCCTCTGCTTAAGCAAAGGCTAAGCAGCCAGTGAAACAAAAACCATGCAGCGAAAGGGTGGGAACTGTCTCTTTTAGCAGACTTAATAGTGTCCCCGACAGTGTCCCACCCCAGTTAGTCCTGGCTGCCGGGTCTTAAAGAGACAATAACAATTTTGTTACAGGTAGATAACAAGAACAAGAACAAGTAACAGTTTATGCTGCATGAAGGATTAAACATTGATCTACTACTAGGCAGGTACTTTTCTATCCACCTTTCAAGAACTGGAATAAATCATGCACTTATTTCTCAACACAGACGGATCAGAAATGGTTCAGTCATAGCCAGATGGAATAGGCTTTTATGTATCTTTTTTTACTGACATAACTATAATCTTTGTGGTTTTATTTTTTTCTGATATTTATCCAGCTGTAGAATATATTTCTGACATGGCCTGATTAATAAGTCTCTCTTTGAGAAAGGAATATGTAATTAAGATTACAAGATTTTTGAAACTAGCCAAAGTCTAGAGGTAGGTGACTAGCTGGAGAAGGCTTGGAACCTCTTCCCAAGAACAGATTTCATTGGAAAGGTCTTGTGGACCCCTGCACAGTTTGCAAGCTCCTCCTCCTCAGCAGAAACCAATGGTAAATTTCTCCCACAATACAGCTGGGAGACAAGAGAAGAAAAACAGCTTTGACAAACAATTACTCCACTAGAAACACCTCAGGACTCTGCTAAGTGTTGCCTGGTGAGGTTTCAGAAATGTCTCTCTCCCACCTGTTAATCAGCTTCTCTGAACAAGCTTATCCTCTGTGCTGCTCTTCTCCATAAATCTGGAGGAACACGAGTGAACTCAAGACCATAGGTCAGCATCACACAGGGCAGTCACAGAGCAGAGGCTGGTCCACGTTCTCTCCAGCAAGTATCTGTAACTTGTACATTGAAAGGTCTTTCCCGTCTGCTGTTTTTAGGTGGTTCCTGCTGGTGCGGCATCAGAAGACAGTACGGCTGTGGCAGCAGGAGCTGCTGCTACTAAGCAGGAGGATGTTGCTGAAAGTGACAAACCTCAGGGAGAAGAAAAAGAGGCTGATGCGTCTCAGGTAACTCATGTCAGTGCATGGAGAGTGTCTTAGAGGAATTGGGACAGATTCAGCAGCCTGAGAGACACAAGACTACTGCAGCTCTGTGCCCCTAGGTCAACCAATACAGGCTGATATTCTCTTGGGATAGCCAGAGGAAGACCTCACACAGGGTATCCTTACTTTGAGTTGTGCCTTTGTGCCTCTGTGCTCCCTTAGGCTTATGGAAATGGGACTTAGTGGCCCTATGATGGCCCTGGGAGAAGCATGGACAGCACATTGTTTGGGCTGCCCCTCACTGTTGTCTTTCTGTGTCCCTCTGGGGAGATGACATTTATCACATAAGAGAAACAGGCTAAGAAAGGATTAGAATTTTGCTTATATCCTGGCACCATGTCCTATCCATTGCATTACTTTGTTTCATGTAAGTCATGGTAGTGTTGTGGTTTGGCCCTGGCTGGATGCCAGGCACCCACAACAGCTACCCACTCCACTCTCCCTTGCCACAGCTGGGCAGAGGAGAGGAAAAAAAATTAACAAAGGGTTTATGAGTTGAGATAAGGAACCAGGAGGAAACATTCCAAAAGGGCAAAACAGGCTCAACTTGAAGTTACAAAGTGAATTTATTACTAACAGAGACAGAGGAAGATCATGAGAAGTAAAATAAAGTCTTAAAGACACCATTCTTCCCCCCAAATCCCTTCCCTCCTTCTCACCAACAGTGCAAGGAGCAGGCTGTGACAGTTTTAGTCACCTTGTTCTGGGATCTTCTTCCATTACTCGGGGAGAGGAGTCCTTCCTCTGCTGCACCGTGGGGTCCCTCCCGTGGGAGGGAGAAGTTCTCCTTGAACTCCTCCAGTGTGGCCCAAATCTCACAAGCAGCAGTCATCCCAAATCTGCTGCAATGTGAGCTCTTCCCATGGGCAGACAGTCCTCCCAAAACTGCTGTGGTGTGGGTCACTTGTCCACAATGTGCTGTACTCCAAGGACACACTGCTGCAGCCTGGAAGCAGGGACTCCATCTCTCCACTGGGTATCCCACTGGACCACAGCCTYYTCCAGGTATTGACTCACTCCTGTGTGGGCACCTCCCCCATGGGCTACAAGTGGATTTCTGCATCCCCTGTGGACCGCATGAGCTGCAGGTGAACAGCCTGCTCCACCATGGTCATCACCATGACCTGCAGAGGAAATTCAGTTCCAGTGCCTGGAGCACCTCCTCCTTCTCCGCTGCCTGTGTTGTCTCCATTTTATTCCTCGCATATTCTCACCTTCTCCTCCTTCTCTGGCTAGGAAAAAAACTGTGTGCCCCTTTTGCTTTGATTTCTTCTTAAATATGTCATCACAGAGGCATAACCAACCTCTCTAATTGGCCCAGGCTTGGCCAGCAGCATGTCCATCATCTTCAGAGCCATCAGGGATTAGCTCTGCTGGACATGGTGGAAGCTTCCAGAAGCTTCTTACATGAGCCATCTTTGCCCCCCCCCCCCGCTACCAAAAACCAGGCCAGGCAAAACCAACACAGGTGGTTAAGCTATGTATCTGTATCTCACCTGCTGCCTTTTCCTCTGCAACCTCTGAGAAGCTAGCAAACACCTACTAGAGCCGGGCAGCCCATTGCCACCTGTTGTCATTGCATATTCTGTTTCTTCAGATGGTCTGGCAGCAGATCAGTGAACATGTTTTTTTCAGGTTGGATGCTCCAACAAGTTTCATTAAATGCTTTTTTTTACTGGGCTTCATTATTGGTCAGATGCTACRTAGCTTTTTTTCTTTCTCTGTTCCCAGTTACATTGCTGTAAATTGGGAGAAATCCCTTCAATCAGTAAAGAAATAGGTCATATTTCCTTCTTTCTTCACCTTTCTATCACTATTATCCTGCTGACTTGAATTTCCAAATAAAAACAGTATGGTGACTACTGGAACCAGTGGCTTCACTCAAACCTGCTGAAACTAAAGAGCAGAGTGAAGGAAAAAGGTCTGTTAATTTCCAGGAGCACTGAAAATGAAGCCCAAGCTACCTACAGAGAATTTTTATTATTTAGTTCAATAATAAGTAAAGTAGGTTTAGGAGGACTAAGGGGAGCAGCGATAACAGGGAAGGGATTACTCCTTGTCATTCTGGGACAAATACTGTTTTCTGTCTTAAGAATTCATGATGGAGAAAAAATAATTTCTCATCCCCATATATGCCCTACGCAATGAACGATAGTGTTTTCCTGTTTGAAATAAAGTACTAAATAGTTTTGCATTTCTTTTCGGGGGGCGGGGGTTGTTGGTTTTTGGGGTCTTTCTCCCCAGGAAAAGGTCAGCAGCATCCCTTCAGTAATAACAGAGCCAGCATCAAACAATGAGGAGGAGGRAGAAGAAATCATCGTGAATGAGTCCAAAGATGCTGCAGCAGAGATGGGCGCTCAGGTCATTGACACTTCCCCCAGTGAAACTTCCCAAGTTGGAAATGATCAGAAACCTGCTGAAGAAATCCAGGCTATGCTTTCTCAGGATCAGCCTGTTCCAGCAGAAGATGCAGCTTCAGCAATGCCACCTGGTTTTCTCTATAAGGTCTGCTTCTTCATTCTTTTRGATATCCCTGTCTTCTGTGGAAATGTGTTGTCTGCATAGGTAGTGTCATGATTTCTTGAGGCCAAAGGATTCTTAGTTTATCAGCCACATGTACACACAGATACATGCAGCCACAGCTCTAATATTGTGTTGTTGCTTCATAAATGATGTTTGAGAAGTTTTCTGCATGCTTGTTGCCATGCATCACATCATGTAGCTCTAAGATTCACTGAAGTATAAGAACCTGTTAATCTCACCAAATGACTGCTGAAAATTAGTATATTGAATAAAACTGCACTGCCACAAAGTTAATCAGGAATGCTGTTGGTATATGCTAATGATGTATCTGATATGCTAACAATATATTTGATCTTCAGGGTCCCTTCCAAACCCAAAACATTCTATGATTCTATGATCATTTTAAAAATAGCGTTTTTCTGGCCAGAAAATGTATAGTGGAAGTATTGATTCTATTGAAACTCATGGCTACAAATCATGATAATGAAGTCAAAATGTCATTCAGTAATTTTAGTAATAATATAAACTGTTAGAATAATCAAACTGAAAAGTTTAATGAGGCATAAGATAAATTCTTTCCTTGGCTGGCAAAACCCCCAGGGTTTCCTGGTTCACAAGATTCTTGGATAATACTTTACACTTCAGAATCACTGAGCAGCAGAAAAGCTCCTTGAGGATGGATGAACTTTACATGCTTCCTATTAAAATTTGCATAATTCAGACTAATTAGTCCCAGAGCACTCTCTAAGTATGCCATACTTTTTCATCTATTGTCATTGCTCAATATTTTCTGCAAACTTTGTGAATAACAGTAGGTTGAGGGTAAACAGTATCATTCAACTCAGACATGATGACATAGTTCAACTTTTATTTTTCATCACATACTCTAGGGTCAGACATAGAGAAGGAGAAGTTGAATACATGTTTGCCATCTGGTTTTCAATGCCACTTTCTTTCATAATTGCAGAGTTAGGAAATGATTGTGCTTTGAGAAAATTAGAATAGCTATCTTTTAAGGAGATAAAACCATTTACTTAAAATGGAATGTTCACAATGACATGCTGATCTAGCCAATGGATCAGCCCCAATAATCACCCCTTTGAAAGGCAGATACTTTTGGTATACCCATCTGCTAGTAAGTGGGAGTTCCTTCCAGGGCAAGCATTAAGTAGGGCTCCCATTACTCACCTCTTTGATCACCTGTTGCAGTGAGTACTGTATTTGACTGACTCAAATTTTTATCAATGTTCATAAGAAGAATAACACAACAGTAGCCACGAGAAAATGAGAGAATCTGAAGTTCCTGAGAGTCTTTCTCAACTTTATTTGCTAAATCCTACTACCCCTTTCTCAGTTCTCTTGATAATAATGGGGAATGAAAGGAAGCTCCTTACACAAGAGGCATGATGGTGGTAGGCCTTGTCCAAGAGGCAAAACTTCTGGGATGTTGCAGTATCATCTGTCCTTGAGATCTTGTGATCTTGGGAAAGGATCTTCAGTTTCCCTTGATAGTCTCAGAAGATTTAGTTTAGTTGTTCTTGCTTCTAAGGAAATGCATTAAAAAAACTGATATGAATCAATGCCTTTATTATCAATTTATGTCAGATCGAACAAGGTGATTCTATTCCTGTAGTCTGGTCTTGTGAGAGCCTATCTGGAATGCTGCATACAGTTCTGGTGTCCCCCACATAAGAAAGATGTGGAACTGTTGGAGCAAATCCAGAAGTGGGCCACAAAGTTGGTAAGAGGACTGGAACATCTCTTCTATGAACACAGGCTGAGAAAGGCTGTTCAGCCTGGAGAAGATTGCATGGAGACGTCATAGCAACCTTCCAGTATCTGAAGGGGACCTACAGGGACGAGAGGGACTGTCCATCAGGAGCTGTAGTGATAGGACAAGGAATAATGAGAACAAATTGAAAGAGGGGAAATCTGGATTAGATATTAGGAAGAAATTTTTACTGTGAGGGTGGTGAGACACTAAGCAGGTTGCCCAGGGAGGTTGTAGATTCCCCAGCCCTGACAGTGTTCAAAGCCAGGTATGATAAAGCCTTGAGCAACCTGGTGTAGGGAAGGTGTCCCTGCCTATGGCAGGGGAGGTAGGGACTAGATGGTCTTTAAGGTCCATTACAACCCATTTGCATTTGATGATTCTATAATAATTTGAATTTAACTGTCTATAGCCATATGTTTGCATAAAGGTGGGTGATTTTTAGTCATGATTTAGCAGATAATTTTGTTGAGAAAATGTCTTCTTTAGATCACATCTATATGTGTGGTGTTATTTTCTTCAGGTTGAAGTTCTACATGATTTTGAGGCAGCTAACAGTGATGAGCTTAATTTAAAACGAGGAGATATTGTACTAGTGATTCCCTCTGAGACCACAGCTGATCAGGTAAAAACATGTGGTTCTTGCTTTTGTTGATGTTTTTGTTTGTCTCAGCTTTTTTTCTCACAATCATAGTTAATGGGAATGTGCATTCAAAATGTTATTACTGTAAGAAAACACAGATTTTACTTATGCCTTTGTACCTAGTGTCATTTGAGACTAAATGGCATGGTTGACTACACCTGAAGTCACAGATACATGTTATTAGCAGGATCTGACCTCAGCATATTTTCAAGGGCTTTTTTTTGTGCTGGATTTGTAGTGGATTTTGTACTAACACAGGTACACAAATACTTAATGCAGAGGATGATCTACAAACTCTGTGTTTCATTGTTCTATATCATCTTGTCTTAGCACTGCAGTAGAATTGATTATGTGCTCCCTAAATGTTCAGAGTTTTTACATGTGGATTTGTAGAAATTCACCCACAGAGAGCACTGACAATGCATACAAAATGTTGCTGTCTTATAGCCTAAAGGTATGGAGATGCTGCCCTGTGTTAGGTGCCTCTGATAACTTTGCCTCTTGGAAGCCTGAACCTGAATTAAACAACAGTTTAATTTCATTTAAGGCATCTTATTTTCTTTTACCATTGCATTTCAGGTGAACTTTTAAACAATTGTATTCCACATGTTAAACTGAATTATAGTGAAGTGTAGTGATGGACCCTGTTTTAAAAGAGAAGACTCTACTGTACGCTATTAGTACCAGCCCCAACATGGGCATTTGTTAGTACCTGCAGTTTGGGTGAAAAGTATCCAAATTTATTTGGGGGTTGAGACTGAATCCTGCCTGATCAGGTGTCTAAGAACACTGCTCTGAATGAAGAATATTTCTTAAAATAGGCACAAATACTAATGCCCTAAGCACATATGAGTCCTGAGGACTGTGTTTGAAGTTGTTTGGCTGATTGATGCTGTTCAAAGGTAGGTTATTATCAATCATCTCAGCTGAGCTTTCTTTTAATTCAAGGTATGAATACTTGTCTTTTGTGAATTTTTTTTTTACTTAATTCAGAAGAAAATATTTATATTACAGCAGGCACATAACTTTTTTTAGAGGGATTAAATCTATTATTCCTCCTCAAATTATGCTGTCTTACCTCATGGGCAGTTCAATTGATCTCATTATCTGTGTTTGCAGAATAGGACTCGGCTCTAAGGATAGCAAAATATGCTCTCTGATTTGCTGGGATATTAGGTGTTAAATACTTGGTGAATCCATGAAGTATAATTCTTCTGGTGTGCATTGAAATGTGTATTAGCATTAATTGAAGTAAATTGTCTGCAGTGATGGAGAAAATAAACGTTTATGTATTCATGTTTCTAAAGCCATTCTGTTCATATCTTTTTTGCTCATTACATATTTGCCCTTCATGTTTGGCATCACTGTAAAGCTCAATACTTTTGTCTTTTGCCAGGTACTTTGTTGATTTATATAAAGGCTTATCTTTGTTATTCTATATTCTTCTTCAAAATTGACCTCTCTAAAGCTGTAATCCAAATAGACCTGCTAATGTCAACCTGTATTCTCCATTTGAACAAACAAGTCCCCACCAGTGGTTTTTTTTTTTCATTAGTCTTGCACTGAAGTTTTTATCCAGTAAAACTGTGTATTCCTTTCTACAATCTATGCTGCCTATGCTAGAGAGCTGCATGCTCTATCTCTCTGATATTCCGTATGCTTCAAAAACATATCCCCAATTATATGTACCCAGCCAATGTCATAGATAAGCTGGATTTGCTTTAATGGTGCAGACAGCAGCACATGCAGCCACCCCACAATTGTGACTTGATGTTGTATGTGATGATCTGTTCAAGCTATTCTGTTTGTATGTGTACTGTTTGTGCAATAATAATACAGCAGCATTAGAAATTCTAATTTCTAATTTGCATGGCTTTACTAGTTTGTCATGGCTTTACTCCAGTTCATTTTCTTTAAAGGAAAAAGATATGGAGTTTCTTAGTTGGTGACATGAGAGTAGATTGGTCGTTTTAAAAAATACCACAATTACTTTATTCCAGGTAGAATTTATCATACTTAAGAGAACTTCCAGTACTTTCCAATAAGAAATCTCTCTTTTGGTTGCTTGGACTGCTTGATGATTTGTTGATATGTTGCCTGTCAAGTTCTGGTTTAGGTTTCCAGGAGTTTTTTGAAAAATAATTACATATTTTCTAGAGATAGGTACTCCTGAGATGGCAAGAACTATTCTTTTTTCTGACTGGTGATACATGAATGAGAGAAAAAAATATCTCAGGGGAAAAAAAATAAAATTCAGAACTATTACTATTTCCCCCCTATCTATGATATTAAATTCAGCCAGGAGTTAGATGGGCTAAAGGCCCATGCGCTTGCAGTCACTTGATCTCACAAAACTGTTGTCTGGCAGAGCAGAGAAAATGGTCCATGCTAATTTAGAGGCTGCTTTTTGACCCAAGCACCAAATCACAAAATCTTCTAGCCATGTTGCTCTGAAACATCTTAAGGTCTGAAACTCATAGCGAGGAAGGGGAGGGAGACATGAAAATTAAGAGACTCTGTCTTTTTCATTGCAGGAGGCTGGCTGGTTGACTGGCATTAAGGAATCCGAATGGCTTCAGTACAGAGATGCAAATAGTTATAAAGGACTTTTCCCAGAGAACTTCACACGTCATCTGGAGTAGTTCTCCCCAGCAGATAAATGTAGTATGAAGCTCAGACAATAGGTTTTTAACCACTTTGAAACACAGGAGTCCATCTTTTTGTAGTTTAAGCTGTTAATGGTTTACATACTGGTGCCAGACAAAGGTTGTTGAAATATATCAAAATGAGCATGAATGCAAACAGTTAAGCAGTAATTTCTGAAGCTGTACATGGGGAAAAAATTGGATAAAAATGGAATGTCCATATTTGTTCATGAGTATGTGGCAACAGGTTTGTTTGTGCTTCGTCAGAGCTGTGGTGATCCTGTATTTGATCCTTTCCCATGAAATCTGAAATTAGCTTCCTCAATACCAAAACCTTAACTTTTCTGCACTAAGTGTATTGTATTCAGTTGCACTGCAGAAGATTTAATTAATTATCCTGTAGTTATGAGGTCAAACTATTCTAAGTTTCTTGTGTTTAAAAGATAATTAACTACTGCAAAGTTTTTCAATATTATTTCTGGACATGCATAATATATATACACAAGAACTTACATGTGTATATATAAGTGCATATGGCTATATATGCATTTTCACAACTTCACTGTAGTTCTTTGGCTGTGTAGTAACATCCAGTACATGCATTGCTCTTTCACTGTCTGAAATTACAGGAAATGGTTTTGTTCCAGAGCAAAACTAGCTGCTCCATTGTCATAACCTGATACAGTATCTGTGTTTGTAATGTGAAATTTTCATTCTTAGGTGATGAATCACATCATTTTCAAAAGGCATGGCTGTCTCCTCTTCCAACTGCAGTAGTTACAATGAGATAACCTGGAGGGGGAGCTGTTATGATGCTAATCTACTTTTTTATTTAATTGGCTGAATACATTTTGAAAAATAAACAGAACTAATCTGAGAATAAATAAACACAATATATTTTCACTATATGTATTTATGCAGCATACCTTCACAGAACCTTTTAAAGTAAGATGTATAATGTAACCGATATCAAAAAGTCATCTGTAACTTACGTTTTTCAGTGGTGTGTCATTAAAAATAAACCTTTGGTCCAAATAAGCTGTTTCTTCTGTCATACTTTTGAAGTTTCATAAATCTGTATAATTTACACATTTTATTGTAATCTAATCTTAATTTAATACCTCTTTTCCCAAAGGAATACAGCATAACAGGTGCAACATCTAAATCTTGCTTTCAACCCTAGTTGTGGTCAGAGTCAGAACTTCAGCTCAGCATATCTCTCTGCTGCTCTTCCTGTTCCTGGCTGTGACAGCCAGCTGATGTTTAACCATCACTCAGGTGAAGATATCTACCACTTAGTAATTTTTCACTTGTCCACTTACTTCATGTGGAAAGTAAGTTCTCCACAAATCTGCTCCATTGTGTTTGCTGAGGCATGGAAGCTGCAAATATTTAGAAACATTTCTATTTTCCTAGGGATTCAGTTATTCTTGATCACCTTGTATGCAAACAATAACTGTTTCCACTCCATTTCTAATTTGCTAGATTTCAATTGAAGAAATAGGGGTATGTGCTTCTTGAAGAAGAGAATTCTTTTTCCTTTGTTTTTCAGGMTCTCTTGCAGTAGGTTTCAAAGGCAAGTCTAATGACAGCTGTGTTTTGTGAAGAAGTTGGATAGCTCAACTGTGATAGCTGGGTTTTGGGATTTGAAGTATCAAGTGAGTCTAAGGAGGTTACAGGAAAGTTCGCTGGTTGTCTTTTCATAATACCCACATCAAAGTCAAACACCCTTGGTCTTGATTCTTCTAATCTCCTTGGTACAGCACAATGTGCCAGATCCACAGAGGGTTTTGAAATACACTTGAGATTGTACAGAGATAGGAAAGGTCTCTGGTCTACAGCAAAGAGTTTTCATGATACTATCATTATTTGTTGGCAACAAGATGTACTGATAATTTCCCAAAAGCTTTTGCTCATGATGTGTCATTTAAGTGCTGCAGGTTACTGTGTGTATGGCATGCCATTCTGACATGGAGTATGTCTTCACATCTCTCACACACACCCCAGAGCCACAAAGCAAGTGTCTTGCAGAAGGGATGAGGAAAATTATTGTCTTTAAAATTCTTTGCAAAATTCCACATACTAGGATGATAGATGTTAAAGGAAACATTGATAAGTTAGCCATGAATGATAATTTCCCTGATTTTCCCTTCTAAGGAGCTCATGAATAAAAATGTATTTCTCATTTTGAATTAACAACTGTTTCTTGTATTCATTTTTTTTCTTACTCTACTTTTGTTAGACATTTCAGACATCTCTGAGACACTCTTTTGTCTGCAACTCCTGAGATGAGTCCAATGCAGTAAGTGTATTTCTCTGTGATGTATAAAACTTTATTCTAGGACAAGCAAAGGAAATACTTTCTAGTACGTACTGCTGTTACATACGTGATACGCTAGCGTTACACTACATTAACTTGAGTTACACTCCCTCTGAAATTGTATTAGCCTCAAATTATTTTTCCCTTTACTTGGATTTTTTTTTTTTTTTATTTACAGACAATATTGCACTTGGCAAATTTCAGAATGTTGTGTTTTCAGAGTGATTGTAAAACCATAACCCATTTTTTCTTGGTTTCTTTAAAGGCTTTTTTTTTTGCGTAAAAGAGCATACACTACTAACCTTCTAGAGCAGATGTAATTTATATTTCTACATGAAATAAACCCTTGAAAGACTCAGGGATCCAATCTACTGGTCCCAGTGACTGATTATGCATGGTGTAGTCTTGAAAGAAAAACAAAATAATTTAATAYAGAGGAACATCTCATGTGAGTAAACAAATAAATTCTGTATTTGCAGCTCATCTGCCTGGTTTACAGCTTTTCATGAATAATGAAAAATTCATAAGCTGAACAATACTTCTGTCATTTCTCTCCTCTCCCTACTTCGCTTCATCTCTTCCACTAGGTGCATCTGTCSCTGCCACAGAAGAGGGAGGGAAGGCAGAGGGGTACAGTCCTCAAATAGCATGGTACTCAGTTCCAGGATGTTCTGATTACTGATGCCCTAGTGCCAGGAAGATGTTAAATAAATCAAAGTCTCATTAAGCTCATTCTTAATGAAAATTTCATAGTGTCTTGCTGACACATGGAAAAAGGCATCAAAAGAAAGCCACAGTGATGGGTAGTTTAGATGGATGGGGTTGGAAAAGGGCAACCATTGGCTGAAGGACACTTTGCAAGGCTGTCCCCTCTGCAATGTGTGGGCAGAGCATGAGCAAGCAGCAGCCATAAGTACCACATAGCCTCAAAAACACCACAGTTTGCTGCTTGAAGTACAAAACCATATTTTACTGTTAGTTTTTAAAGCAGATTTGAAAGATCTATCTTTTTGTAAACTATCACTAACGCCATAAAGTGAMAGTCGATGAAACACTACCTGATAAGCCAATCCTTGGCTGCAGAAAATAGTTCAATTAATGAAGAAGGTCATATTTGTGAAAACAGTGCAACAGAGTGTAAAGATATTTTTGCAACCAGCTGTAATAAGCAGTGTCACTGTTAATTCTGTGTTTTCTGGTGGCAAGACATTTGTTGCAGATGAGGGGACTGCAATGAACTTGGTGCAAGCAAGCCAGTAACACTATATGGCATCCAATTTGTTTCTGCTTTAAAGYCCAGCCCTTTCTGGAATAAAAAAATCTTGTTTAATTAGGAAGAGGAATTTTAGGAAATGGTACTTTTTCAGTCCGGATTTATAAGCAGAGAATATGAAGTGGGCCATGGTTTTGAACACAGCATCTTGCTAAAATGTATACATATGTAATAGTCAATTTTCCTAAGTCACTAATTAATCAAGATTCCTTCCTTAGGAGATTATGTGAGTCAACACAGGGAGGTAGCCAGAACAACCATGAAATCACATCTGAAATGCAAAGAGTAAACTTATTTATTTACCTTACTAACCAGAGGATCCCAGGAGACACACAAGTGGGAGTATTGGGGCCATCAGGTTTAGTCCAGTCCTAGTGGGTGGGGGCGCCTGCTGTTTGCACCTATTTGTCAAGGGCCTGCACATGCATAGTTTACCACTGTGCTGTGATCTCCCCTGTGCTTTTTATCTCTGAGCTTGGATCTCTTTCCCAAGACAGGGAGCTCAGACATGTCCATGAGAGTGCCTCCAGGTCTCTAGCTCTACACAGGAATTCTACCTCTCAAAACAAAGCTGGTGAAGAGTAGTGGGCATAATATATGGAGTTTACCACGCTGTTACTCTCCAACCTTGGCATTCCCAGCTGCAAGGTCACTTGAGTGAATCTACCATCCTCCTCACCATTCTTTGACTTTTAACCCTTTCATCGCAACAATCTTCATCCATGTGATACCAGMTCTGATAGTGTCTTTGTGTACCATGGCTCTGTCAGCATCTCAACTATATCTTTCACTGTTCCACCTCTGACCTGTTTAATCAGCACAGAAGCATCATATGGGGGAAACTGCAGCACTTTTCAAATRATTTCTCCTATAACCAACAGGAAGATCTCTTAATCAGCATTTATTTAGAGAAGCTGAAATTATCCACACGAAGGTTGTGCTGCATATTCAGTTCCCCTTAATATGTTAAGTTAAAGCAGTTAAAGAAAACTTTAGTGGGAAAAAAATACCTAGACAGTAGTAAAAGTACCACTCTGTGTGTATGCAGGATTTCTATCCAGCCACAAGGCACTAAACGTGATGCAGAGAGCAGTAATATACTGTGTAGTCACCAAACTTGAGTCTTCAGGAGTCAGTGGTACCCACATCTGCTGAAGATGGTCAACAAATGCAAGGTCCTCTATGTCTTCAGCCTCATTTCCAAGGAGAAAAGAGGCTTGGGTTTCTTTTGATGCTATTAGGCTCTGGGGTGAACCAGATAAACCCCTGGTCATAAAGAGTGCCTTTATATTTGCCTAGATAGACTGCTTGTAGTACAAGGTATAATTGGAYCAAGAACATCAAAGCACTGGAAAGATAAGTAGTTATATACTTAAATTATCACATTTCCAAGGTATATGCTGCAAAGGAGAAGGTGAAGGTAGTCCAGATTTTCTATACTTAATTTAATTCATAAGAAAGTCAACTTCTCTATATTAAAGTTTTTTAATCAAACATACTGAGCTGCAAGGGAATGAAGAATTTGGCTGTATGTCAGTGAATGAAAAAAAAATGTAATTTTGAAGAATAAAATGTCCAGATTAACATTTAATTGCCAAATAATAAGGTGTACTGGGTTTGCATGGCCTGGTTTTTGGTAGCAGGAACTACAGGCTTCTGTGAGAAGCTGCTGGAAGATTCCTTCGTGTCTGACAGAACCGGTCCCTGGTGGCTCCAAAGATGGATGTGCTGCTGACCAAGGCTGGGCTAATTAGAAATGGTGGTAATAACTCTGTGATAACAGATTTGAGAAGAAAGGGAAAAAAGTTATTGCACAGTTATAATTGAGGCCAGGGTGGGAGGAGTGGGGTGAAAATATGGGAGGGGAAGACATGAAGATCAGTGGAATGGAGGAAGAGGAGTTACTCCAGGTACCTGGGATTCCCCTACAAGCTGTGGTGCAGACCATGGTGAGGCAGCTGTGTCCCTACAGCCCATGAAGGACCAAGGGGATGCGAAGATCCACCCACAGTCCGTGAAGGAGCCCATGCCAGAGCAGGTGGATGCCTGAGAGGAGGCTGTGACCCTGTGGGGAAGCCCCTGGAGAGAGGAGCCCACCCTGGAGCAGCCTGTCCTTAAACGACTGCACCATGTGGAAGAGTGACCCAYGCTGCAGCAGTTTGGGGAGGACTGCTGCCTGTGGGATGAGCTTACATAGCAGAAGTTCACAGAGAGTTACTCATGAGATAGACTCATGCTGGAGAAGTTAATGGAGAAGTGTCTCCTGAGGCAGGGACCCACGGTGGAGCAGGGGAAGGACTCCTCTCCCTGAGCAGCAGGTGAAACAAACCACAGGTGATGAACTGACCATAACCTCATTCCCTGTCTCCTTGCCCTGCTGGTGAAGGAAGCACAACAGGGATGGAGAGAGGTGTAGGGAGAAGGTAATTTTAAGGTTTTATTTTACTTCTCGTTATCCTGCTCTGATT